GGGGGGCGGGGGGCGGGGGGGCAGACACTTATCCTCGAAACCTGAACTGATCGTTTATTTACCTTTTTTGAATAGAACGCTTAGCACCGTGTGGAAAGTTTCAATTATTTCTACCAAGTCATTAGTCGCATAAAAAATGATTGAGGGAATTTGCACGAGGGGACGTCTTTATGGCCGTTCATACAAATAATGAGATGAGACGTCGAAAAATCCGTCAATTCCCTTACGTTTGCTGTTGCACGATACACACTTGGCACGAACACAGCATTGTCAAAGCGAATCATCAAAGCGATTGAGACCACTTCCCGTTTCGGAAAAAATGGCGAGAAGTTGAAACCAATACCCCGCTACTGATGGACAGTCGCTCTCACAACAAAATTATCTCGCAGCGCCAGACACGAATCTATCTAGACGTACGTATGATAATTTGATACGGACAGTATAATTATGCGCTTAAGGGAAAGAATGTTGAAGTAGACAAAACTGGCGAAATTTATAAACAAGAGGACAGAATACAGTCCATAATTCGCCGCCATCATTGTGGGAGCTAGATTGTTAGTATGGCGTGTATATCTACAAAGTATATGGAAACAAGAAAACTGGCCATCTTGTTGAGAATGTACTTTCATAAACTTTGGTTGATAACTTTCCCGATATCATTTTAAGATTATATGTATGAATTGTTGCCTTCACCTCCATGTGTGACCATCAACAGGTCCTGAGCGGTAGATATCAGGAAGAATTGTGTGAGTTTCAAGAAATTTTATTGAAAACATGGGGTAGGAATGCATGGACAATCCAATCCTCCTGATATTCTGCAGCTGTAATAGTGAGCCACAATATATGACTTTAACCTTCAGCAGGTTCAACGGGAGATCGACGATGTAAACATATTTTTTGACGATTTATGAAATTTGGTTAAAAAAATTTAACAGGAAGTAGCAGACAAGCGAATTGTTTCATTTCAATCCATTTAATTTATTTTTAAGTTATAACCTTGACCTTAGATTTTCGACTGGGCTTCAGAGATTGTCCTTAGAAACACTGGAGTGATTTTGTCGATTTCAGGTATTGTCACTACCCGAGATCTCGATGTGAGCACATGACATTACTGGGATCCCACTAAGATTTACATGGAGGGCGTCGTTGATGAAGGATAAGACGCTTACCCTTCCAGAACACCTGGTCTTATCATCCTTGTACTTTTTAAGGGTATCCATGTAAATCTTTCCTTTGTTAATATTTTGCTTTTTCAGTTTTATCGATTTTGAGTTCGAATTACGGTTCTGTTGACACTTCGGTAATCTTTTGGGGTTTTTTCAGTACGTAAATCAATGTTATCAGTTTTAGAAACAGAAACTCTTTAAACACCTATTCACCCAATACATGCCGAGAAGTACGATACGTTACCATACCAAGACAATATACAATTTATGCAGACATTACATTTCAAAGAAGTAAATCAGTTTTGACCTTGTAACATGACAACAATCAAATGGAAACAAGCCATTCGAATTGATATGTCTGGCCTGTGCCCTGCTTTTATCATCAATGCACATGTCAAGTTTGGTTGGTTGGTCTATCACTTATATAATTACAGTTTCAGAGAAAATAACTTAAACGCAAAAACTTAATGTTGATGGAGATGCTGACAAAGTCTACTTCGTGGCGGCGCGTCAAAAATCATATATCCTGAGAAAAACGTTGAGATGATACCACTGTTGTCTATGTATGTCAACGATTAACCTTGTAACATGACAATACTAAAATAGAAAACATATTATATCCCGAGCAAAATTGAAACGACGCCACTATTGTCTATATTTGTCAGTAGTTACTGGTAGTTTAATGTGTATTGATTTTCTGATTTTCAATTCCAAATTTCTTAATGTATTCTTTTAAAGCGATGCATAGATATGTTAATTGATGGATATGGAAATGTCATCACGTAAAGTGCATCTATTATTGTTTAAACCAGATGAGGTGTAATATCAGATTTTATACAAGCAGCTATTCACACGTTCGTATCATTAATGTATCAAAGGCGTTAATTGAAGCCGTTATATTACTCAGGCTACCTTACTTACATAGTTTGTATCGACGCATTAACTGTGACGGAAAAACCTGTGATTGTTTCATTAAGGATCGGATCCCCGTACCATTGCTATAAACTGCAACTGCACATTGGAAACTATTTTTATGGCATCACTATAGCCTTAATAAATCTTTTCTGAAAAGAAAACGATGTCTTGCGGTACTTTAGGAAAAATATAATAAAGATGAAATAAACACGAAAAATCGAAAACACGGTTCTGTGTTTAAAAATTCAGAGGTGCTAGACCAGGATTCGAACCCTGGACGCCACCTTGTGATTCTGTCGCTCAAACCGACTGAGCTACCTGGTCAAAGGAAATGTCCGGGTCCACAATAAGGGAAACATGATTTGTCGAGGGGAACAAATTTCGGCCATTTTGTTTTTCCAAAAGGTCTTAAAAGTTAACATGCATAGTTATTGACCAAGGGAAACCTGCATATCTCGAATGAAAAAGATCCCTTAAGTAATCTCTTGAGAAATACAGGTAGTAAAACTTAACTTTTAAAAATCAAAGGTGATCGCCAGTCGGATATTTTGCTTTTTCGGGCAGTCTCAGAAGTGAACATGCACAACTTCAGACCTAAGGGAACTGACACATGAAATTTGAGAAAGACCCTTCCAGCACTTTCTGCGAAAATAGCAATGACAAACTTCAACAGTCAAAATCAAAGATTGCCGCCTGTCATAAAATATGGACCTAGATATAAATGGTAATAAGAAATGCTATCCAAAGATGGCGGTTTTAGCATCATTAATGGTATTCCTCTAGTATAACAACGCAACATTTGGAACTGTAGATGGTTGAATTACAGATATTATCTAACGGTAGTTTTACAACGTAACATTGAAACGGTTTGCCCTCAACCAATCATAGAACGTCTCTTGCCAAGAATGAGTAACAAACAACCAATAAATTTCAAATTTCCAAAGTAAATAATTACCATTCTTCCACAGGAATGACTTGCTGAGCGATTACACAGAAACAGACGAGACAACAGTTCTCGCACATAGGACTGCCAGACATGAAACATAGGACAGCCATTAATACCACTAAGAGCTGTTGTATATTATATAAGACAGGTGTAGCCTTTCTTCAACGAAGATTATCACAAATTACAACCGCACATTCCGATTAAAACTGTTCCACGTCTTGTTCCGGTACCAGAATTTGCTACCTATTGATAACGTGGACAACAACCAGATAAATGAGGTACATTAAATATTATCATACTCACAAATTATGGATTGCGAAATGTTCCACACACAAAACTTGGAAAAAAAATTAGCAGACAAAAGTACGTGTTTCATAATATAACCCAATGGAGTTATTTTAAATTCAAATGAAAATAAAATATGTTCAAGCCTCAAAGTAAGAACGTTCTGCGTCACCAACACCTCTAGATCCGTGATAATATTTTCCACCAACATTACACCTCATCTTTATCTGTCGTAAATCTTACCCAGAATGTCAGGCATAACAACTTAATGTTATCACGTAATGACCAACAATAAACCTCTTACAACAGAAATCATCATTCTAAACACCAACGATTACAGGTTAGTAATCGAGACTAGTGTATCCCCCATGAAAACCCTTCTGTTATGACGTCATCAGTTATGACTATGTATTGCGACATCATCAGTTATATTGTGACTTCATCAGTTATGACTTTGCATTGTGACGTCGTCAATTATTACTTTATATTGAGACGTCATCAGTTATGCCTATGCATTGCAACGTCATCAGTTATGAATTTGTAGTATGACGTCATCAGTTATGACTTTATATTATGACGTCATCAGTTATGACTATGCATTGGGACGTCATCAGTCATGACTTTGCATTGTGACGTTGTCAGTTAAGAGTTACTGATACTTTGTATTGACGCGTCAGAAGTGACACTTACCCAGTTTACACGTCATATCGATCGAGTCCCAGTGCGAGAGGAGTAATGGAATCTTCCGCGGTTTCTCCTTCACGGGGTGTCGGTCTGACAGGAACTTACACACCTCATCATCCAGAATCTCTTTTTCCACCTCCAAAGCCTTGTGCTTAATGTCTTTTAGCTGACTCCTCGATAACATCATGGTCAACAAATGTATCCTTCTAATGCAGTTTTCCTGTATCAGATCCTTTAACAAACTTGTACAAGAAAAGTTTCGTGGATAAGTTTTAAATAACAGGTGAGTTCGGGCCCGTGGTTGATTGTTAAGACAAGACACAAAGAAATGAATTGTAAAAAAAAAAAAAAAAAAAAAAAAAAAAAAAAAAAATTTAAAAAAAAAAAAAAAAAAAAAAAAAAAAAATACAGTTAATCAAAACTACCGCAAAGGTTTCGGTAGAATTTGGTTTTTCTCTCCACCAAATAAGATGTACATCCGGGTGAAATTTGCAAGTCTATACTCAGGATCACTAAGTATTGCTTCGAGCGTTGATTTGCTTCGAGCGTTGATGTTTCCCCTCTTTAAAGAACGGTAAATCCAAGCGCCGTGACTTACTGTAACACAGTATGTAATTCTGTAGTATCGTTCATATACAAAACCATTGTTTTCCAATAAACGCTCTTCGTTTTGCTGATTGAGCAGCAACGGCCAGCACAGATGTTTGTGAGCACTTCAAAGAACACGCAATTCCTGGCCATAAAACTGAAGAAGATTTCTTCGTTTACCACACTATATAAACGTCATTACCTTTTCAACGTTCAAACCGTTTTTCTAAAAATGAAGTCCCAAACCAACAACAGTGTTATCGTCGAGTGCACACGAGAATGGCCGCCTTGCATAAATAACAGCATTGCCTGTTCGCAACAGAAATGAATATTGTCACATTAAAAAATAGGTGAGTTTTTAAAATGCCATCAGTATTGATTTACACGTGAGAATTAATATTCTGACTCACGATTTTCCGGATTTTTTGCAGATCCGTTTCGGGTTTGAATCAAGAGTTATACGTAGCGGACTGCGTAGTGTGAAGCAATGCACCCCAGTCCGGCCGAAGTGTGAGAATACTCATACGCCTTAACAGCTAGATCTCCTTGTCAAATGTCAATATTATATAACACTTATACAGACGATGTAATGTTCTCTGAATAATTAATGGCGTCCACAGTTGTTATCAGTTTTGTCCCGCAGTTTGAGGGTTGTTTTATAATTGACAAGCTAATCCAGGATAAAACGTTCCTTTTTTCTGTTTCACAAGCAGCTCTCCAAGTTTCAACTGGCCGCCGAGCCAACAACGGAGGGATTTTTGTATAATTGATGACAGCTCATTGTCCGCTTTCATTTTTCCGACGACATTTCGCTTGCATTTCAGAACTGATGACGGATTCATGCAATAACCAATTAACTATGAGCTATGAAAAAGAAATATATTGGTGTGTCATCTATATGATTGTGATGAAAAAAACCTGACATCTATATTCCAGCACGATCACTCACATACGACCAGCAAACACTTTTAATGCCAGTATAATAGGCGTCTCGTCCCTACATTTTCAGCTCAACTCCCTTGGAAATACAACGTATAATACCGGATTACTCCAAACAGAATCACTTATATTCACTTAGTTTCTGCCTTTTGAACGATCTTGTCAGTAGACTGGCACACGAGATTTTCCGAGACCTTGTCTCAACCGTTTTTACAGAGAGATGTGCTATTACATGATAACATCCGTTTTATAATTACCTGAATGATCGACTGTCAAGACCTCACGAGATTGTTCGAGACTTTAATCCGACTTACGTGACGAAATCTTATTATATTGCATAACTTTTCCACATAGCAATTCTGTGATTGTATTGCTAATGTCACTTCTTAGAACCTTGAACCATTTCTATTAAACCATCATCAGGTTAACTAATTAAAGTATCACCAAGGTAACTGTGTAAATAGCATTTTAGTGAAATACTGTTCGTCATTATCTGACAAAATAATTTCAAACTCCAGAAATCTCAATTTCGGTTCCTTTTCGATATTTCGACTCGGCCGTCAGATGATGAAATAAACTCATGACACAAGTGCAAAGTGTAATTTCCAAGTGTCGTTCTAACGCTGTGTATTTCCTCAAGCGTTTGTTTGACTATGACACGCCGCTTTGCCTCACGGGAAGGCCCCTGCTTGTTGCCGGTGTTTGTAAGTCTCGTGAGAGCAGTGTGACATTTAGAAGTGGTGTTGCTATACCATCAGTAGGTGTCAAACACCGCGTGCCGGCACTTCATACATTAATACTTATGTACACAGGCCCATCCACGGGTTTTGATGTCAAAACTTAATTAGTTCTGCAACACCGAGAGCTGGACAAAACATCACATCTACTAATGGCGTGCTAGGCCAACCCACAGAACGTCATCGCACAAACTCTGGCTTATGGCAACATTGTCACCAGATGTTCGACCTTGTCAACAGAACCCGTCCATGAAATTCTCGTGAAATTTATTTCAATCTCTCAAGGGAGGTATTCCAATAAAACCCTATCGGAGTCTAAACCGACTGACGATGTACCCCAATTAATGAGATAGTCTCACCGATATAAATTGATACTGTGGGTGTAGTCCTCTCATCAATCGGTAATCAACACATAGGGTCACAGATGCCATCGACGCCTTTCATCAGCAGTAAAACATGGGTTTTTTGCATAAATTACAGTTCTATAGTAAATATCAAGTTGGCTTATTTATATAACACATTGCACATTTCCATTATTCCACACTATTCAAAGCATCCTGTTACATACGTTCGTTACCGTTAAAAGTTTGTAATCAAGTCATGTGATATCGGCCTTGCCGTACTGGTGTGGTATAATTCTGTAATGGAGCAACTTTTCCGATGATCCGATGTCTTCGTTGAAAAAACTATTCACTAGTGAACAAATATACCTGTTCCAATCAAGACCATTCTTTTAAGACTTTGTTACTTAAAAACATATTTGAAATCCACAGATTAAAAGATGCTACAAACTTCCTTCGAGTTTATCGTTCTAAGACTTCACTTCCTGAAGCGAACTTGTCATCCGCTGATCAAAAAATCAACTTATCAATCCAGTTCATCTTTTTCAGACTCAGGATTCGTTTCCTTAAACGTAATTTCAATTCACTGACAGATAGACATAGGTATATGCCATCAACTCGAACATATAATATTATCAGATCACTTCCTGAGCTTCGAGTTCCTATTTTACTGTAAACCTCGTGATATTCCTGTGTTGTTATAAAGTCAAACAAAGTCAGTGGATGCTTGTGTCATCCTCTGCAACAAATAATATTATGAAATCACTTCCTCAACTTCGGGTTCCTACTTTACTGTAAACCTCGTGATATGCTCGTGTTGTTAAAAAAGTCAAAAGTCAAAAACGCCATTTAGCGATACTATAAGTGGGAAAATGTCGTCTACAAAATTGGACAGTGAGTTTCAAAACGCACAACTTTCCAGAAAAGTGACAATATCAAGAGATGAGTTCCAGTGAAAACATTTACCGCCTGCCAGGAATGGAGACGCTGTTCTTCTCTCGACCATCGATAACGCATTGAGCACATGACTTCTTGTGTTGTGCAACCCGTCCCACCACAACGCCTATGAGTAGCGATATGTGTCTTATTAATAAAACAACGGGCATTATCCGCAATTCCCAAAGTACAGGCCAAGGCAAGGTCGTGACCTATAACATTAGACGGATGGATAGGCAAAATATAAATGCCTTGCTACTCGCCGTTCTCCTTCCCGAGAGGTTTTACACCGTGTAATCGATCACGCCCAGTGTTTATTGGTGGAACTAACGTGGCCATTGTTTCTAGCTGGAAGTACTGTATATAGCGCTGGCCAAATAGGCATACAATTGTACACGATAAAATCTTGGAATGCAAAATGAGTGTTGAAGGTTTCGGTTTGCAAATTGGATTAAGCTTAAAGTAAAGGTACTTGTGCTATGTAAAACGCCAAGAACAATACATTAATTTGACGATATGTTACGTAATGGTATATTTATAGATTATCACTGCGGTGGCCTTTCGATATTCACGCGCACGCGATAAGAAAATTGTTCTCACGACAAACCCTGAGAATACTGTATGATAAACTTTGTATCATCTATATACTACTACCTCATATATTTCTCCATTTAAAAAACTCAACTAAACACCATGTTTTCTAAATGACTTCTAAAGTCAATGGTCAACGATCGCATTTCCTCGGTCTGTGTCAAACGTAAACAAATAGAAGAGTATTATTATTTAAAAGACCTAAGTATCAATTAAAAAGGGTGCAATTGGTTTGAAAACTTTCTTTTTTTGTAATTTCTTAAATAAGCGACCCCCTCCCAACCCGCCCTTAAAAGTAAACAAAATCTCAACCTACCTGCCCTATTTTTGAGTCGTGTTACATGACATAATATTTTTGAATTACTATATTCTAAAATTGAATAAGTTGTTGTATATGCTATCCGTAACGTTTTTTCGAAATGAAATAAAATATCCCCAGTAACTAGGGTGTCATCTGGAAAAAGCATACGTACATTATTTCAATATTTAACATAACATTTCCCTTTAATATTCTCACTCGTTGTTTAGCTGTACGTTGTGTATACCTAGTTACACCAACAGTATAACGATAACATTCACAGTCCTTCTCTCTATACATATAGATACCTTGTTCTAAACAGCTGTATAAAATCACATTTGAAGTCGGTCTCTATTTTGTATAAGATCACGTTTAAAATCTGTCTTTTCATTTCTGTTAAAGTTACAAACTGCTGTACAGAGACCACGTTTACTTTCTGCGTCTCAATATGTCTCAGACAAAGTTATAAAAAGTAATCTGAACATATCGTCTTTCTTAGCATAGTGCAACACTCTACATGATAGTTTCATTCTGACAACTGGCCAACCAGGGCCCGTATTCATGAAACCTTTCTTATGCTCAAGCAAGGATTTTGTGATCAAGCCTATAATTTCTTGTTCCCGTTATCAATAAATAATGAAATCTTATTTTG